TTTCCCATACCCTGCCCGCCTTATTCCCTGTCGTCAGGCCACCACTATCACCCCACCAGGACACTTCTGCGCCCCAGCCTTCCGTCCTTACCGCATGGGCTCACTGGTATGTTGAGTTCAGGACGTCGGTAAACTCGCGGATGGCGGCGAGAGCCGTGAATTTTCGGCCCCGCGAGATGTGGAAGGTCACTCTTGACTTCTGCAGCTCCGTGTAAGCGTATTTTCGAGTGACTATTTTGATCGTGCCGCTCGACAGGATGCACAGATATTTCCGCCTACCCGCGGTGATTGTGATTGTGCCGGATAGGTAGAAGTGGGCGGTTGAGATAGGGGTGTTGTGCAGGTGTCCGTATCTGGCGCGGGGGGGGGGGGTCTGTAGTGCCGTTTGTGTAGTAGGGGCGGAGGGTTGAGTTGGGACCTGTGGAGAGAAGCAGGGAATAGCGGGAGAGAAGTGGAGAGTGGATATCATTGACTAGCGGCCTGTTAAGTGCTTGATGCTTAACAGAAGGGGGTTGGAGGTATACCCAGTTACCGACAAACCCTTTTCCCATCCGCGAACCTCACTACGGCCAACTCCTCCGGCCGCAGCCTCCCTAGAACAATATATCACCAGTGTGTAGTGCTCCCTAGAATCTATCTAACACTAGGCGCAGATCTTACCACCTCTTAATCCCCATCTTCCTCCTCCGCCCCCGCCCCGCCCATGTCTTCATCACTACTCCCTGCAGCTGCACCGTCTGACCTCACGCTCTTCCTATCCGGAACACCAAAATGCAGCATACCGGGACCCCTTCCTCCGAATGAGGTCTTCGGTCGCCATGTCGCAAAGCTTATGGGCCGGCCCCTCATGGCCAAAGAACTAGTCATGAATCGCTTTGTAGGTCTGCTCCCACATCCTCATGTCCATGGCTGACCAGTGCAGTCCCTATTACTTCATTGCTGGCATTAGGAGATCCATCATCAACTTTGTTCATCCAGTCTGCGCACCCTTCTGCGTCGCCAAAAATTAACACAGGAGTGGGGCTCAATCAATAATTCATCGAAGCTGTCTTGGCAAGCGGGAATTTACTGTGGTCTGTTGGTTGAGCCTCATGTCGGCTGTCCCTATCCATTTAATACAGCACGTGATTAGAGCTGCAAAAGTCTAAAAGGTGACCAAGAATGACAATTATTGATGGAGATGTTAATGTGGGGTGATGGTGCGGGCGTGGGTATGGTACAACCTGCTGCGCGGTGGAGTAGCATTAACTTTGCCACCTTTTCTTTGTATATTTAATCATGGAACCCTACCAAAGAGAGGACTCGACGGATTCCTGGAAACTACTATGGTTTTCAATTGTGTTTCCAGGCAAGCGCTAGCATGGCATCAAGGACAAACTGGGAGCCGCACCCTCACTGCTAGGCCTGTACGAATAACGCAATTCTTACCTACCACTCTTTCTTCTAAATGGGCACTCCACAATACTACTTTTACTCCAACAAAGCGTAGAACAAACAAAATAAGAGACACTTCTAGAACTCGGATATAGATGTGGGAGGCCCGACTGTAAGGGATTCCGCAGGCCTGAGCTTACCCCCCTCAGGAAATGAAGAAATGAATTTGTCATGGCATCTAGTCACACAAGCAAGAGGCGTTGATACCTCTAATCCTCGAATTTCCGGTCACCCGCATTGGTACCGAGTAAGTGCCGCAGAATCATTCCTAGCCCGACACTATGCTGACCACTTTGAGGGCATATTGGCATGAGATGAATAATCAGGTCATCCCCACTGCCGAGCATATACCACCCCCCCCCCCCCCCCGGTATTACGATTCACCCTACTTCAGCGTTGCGCGAGAGCCAGGCCCCATTCATATTTATAATATTTTAATACTGCATTCCGCCTTGGGGGGGGGCGCCGGACACAGCAAGCAAACCGATAGTCCGGCCAGGGAATTGATTGATAGAACCTTATTTGAGATTTAAATCAAAGCTAGAATTTGGGATCTAAGCATCATTCGATCCCATACGGCTTGTTATATTATGATTATCAGCTTCTGCACCCCATATATTGTTGGTGTGTGGTACTGGGGCTATCCTCATGTGTTAGGGTGTGCAGGGTTGTGTGTCAGTCAGTGTTAGCAGTCATGTATTCCCTTCAGATAGCACCCTCCAGAGCTAGGAAATACATTGAGTTCCTTTCCTCTACACACACCAGGTCTTATCACATATATTGGATTCCACCGCCATCCAACCTCCTCTCTAATTTCCTTCGCCTTCTGTCACTACCCAGACCCCCCGATGAAGGTACTTTACATAAAAATAATGGTCACTCCCACCCGGAGCTACCAGGCCACTACCGCACTCCCCAGCCCCAGCACCCAGTGCCTATTTAAAAATAACAACATACTACATCATTCCTCTAACTTACTGCTCCGTTTGGGCTGGGATTGCTTTTCTCGTAGCGCTAGCAACTTCCTAATACATTCGGGGGTGGTGCGTTGATCTCTCGGAGCGTTCTAGTATCCCCCGCGAGCACGATCAGAAGGTTTCCGGCTAAGGATATTACCAGTGTTTTGTTTTATACTAACCCAGTAGGCAGACCGGAAGTCTGCAGGTGCTACGAGCTTCTATGTGATCCCAGACAACTACCTTGTTGCTCCGTTCCAGTGAGTGCCCGCGTTTTATCCTAATCTCATCATGGTTTCCCGAGCCGTCAGATGCGGGGGCGGGATTACCAACAGTATTATGTATGGTACCGGTAGGATAGCCTGAGTCTCTGGCTCTCTCCTTCACCTCTTGTCTGCGCTGGATGATGGTTTCAGAATGATCAAAATTTACTTTCTCCTACGCTAATATAGCTTATTGTCAGTTAATAGGGTTATGTCATTTAGTTATCGGAAGAAGGACCTCTTCATGCGCCTCCCCTGTTGTTATTTTCCACCGTCCGTGAACTTTGCACACCGGAGTCTCCGGTGTCCAGGAATGGTATCCTAATTCCTTATCTGCCGCTGCTCCCTCTTTTTCCCTTCCCTTCTCTCTTCTATCCCCCCCGCTGCGTCTCCCTCATCTTCCCAAGACCTTTTTTCTTCTCCTCATTGTCTTCCACCTCCGGGCTTTTAATCTCTTTTCCATACCTTTTCAACAAGGTAGATAGCTCTCTCCTATCCACAGGTAAATAGGTCCTGAATATTCCACCCCTCGAACAAATTAAATATAATAAATGGCTGCGAAATTCCAGGGGTATTAGGGAAATGTGTGATCGTAACGAACAATCCAGCGCACGTCAGGGTGTTGGGGCCGTCGGCAGTACTCCTGGTGAGACGGTGCGGTCGTGCTGAAAGGTAGTCGGCGGATTGTCATTCATAGACTGCAGCGCTGGTGGGCACTTGGTATTAGGGATATAGGGGTACTGCAACTTAGCCGCTTAGAGTGTAACATGGCATATAGCACCCGTAATGCGGTTGAGAAAGCCGGCGGGAAAGCGGCCAGATGGGGCGGTGGAACGTTGGTAGGCAATTCAGATTGTTATTGGGCACTCAGAGCCTGGCGGATAGTAATATCGAACGAGTGACTCTTGGTGACTCGAAGGGGTGGAGGGTACTGCAAGGATGCTATAGGGTGAGAAGGCGTACGACTTTCTTTTCTATTGAATATGAACTAATATATCACGAAAAGGGAAAGGAAAACAAGGGAAGATGAAATGCGGGAAGGTAAAAATGACCAATACTTCCTCCGCACTACACTTCGACTGCCCACCGGGCACGAGGTCGAGTTCGTTATTCTTGCTAGTCCTACGCGATCTACCGTCGTTCCCCTCATAAATACCCCCAGGCTTTCGTGCAAGTTGAATCTAACAGCCCACTCCTGTCACCTCCAGTCCAACCAAACTACCTACAGTAACAGGGGTCACTATGTCGGCCTATCACCCGTGGGGAAGACAACTCTCCTCCGCAAATAACTGACAACACGGAGTGCAAATCGTAGCCGCGTATAGTCGATAGCTCCAGGAAGAAGCTCCTGTGGATGCAGCCCTGACGTCTGTGAATCATCAGACTCTCCTTGGGGTCGCAGCGCCACTCCGAGGCGGTTGATAATTGCTTGGGCGCTGCCAGCTATCCCAAGCGGCCAGTCCGTCCGGCTTTGCGTACGGCCGGACTGGCCCAGGCTTTTTCAGGGCCGGCCGGGCCGGGCTATTGAAAAGCGGCTTTTCCAAACCAAAGCCGGGCCCGGCCTGGGTCACCCGCAGGCCGATGTTTCCAGGGCTCACGTGTGTTTCACTACGAAGAAATATTTCATTATTCAACAGGACTAACTGTTTCATGCGGACAATACATATTCACCCGGGGTGGCCAGAGAGCTGTGTGAAGAATAGTATAGTGTCTTGAGGTAGGACAGCATATTTGGGTACAGCGGGGGTTCATCGCTAGATGTCATGCATTTACCTTAACCGAGGTCTATAGGGTCAGGTGCATGTTGCTCCTGATATCTTGTTCCGAGTGATTAAGAGTGGAAAGCCTGCAGGCCGTCCATAGATATCTTCAGATTACCTGGGCATCTGGCGGCTCTCGCCTAGGTTGCGCCAAGACTGGACCCGGCGGTTGCCTGGGCGCCGCCGGGCTTTGGCGGTCGCAGAGAATTTCGACCGGACTGGCCCAGGCTTTTCAAAACTAAGGCCGGACTAACTGGACTACCGACCTGTAGTCCGGACTGTGGTCCGGACTGGCCACTTGGGATCACTGGGCGCTGGGATGGTCTGGTCCCAGAATCCTCCCCCTCCCCGTCTGTCCACTCCCATGCATCGCCTGCGATTCATTATGCGTTTCCCGGGCCCGCAAGACAGTAGCTATGTTGTTGGCGCTTGTGATGGTGTCTGCGTGGTCTGGTCCAAAAATCCTCTCACGCCCCTCCAGTGCACGCCGATGCATCGTGTCTGATTCGACGTACTTTCCTTGGTCCCCCAACACAATAGCAAGGTTGCC